CTCCAGTGACGGTAAGCATAGCAGAAGCAACCTATTTTCGTTGGGTGGAAGAGGGGCAATCGGATCCCATCCCAAATTCCTAAGGGCAAACAGCAAGAATTGCTTTTGAACAGATTCAATTGAATCTACGTAGCACCTATATGAAGGAGACCACACAACAGAGGCATGCTCAAGAATAGGTCTAACCAAACACTTGTAAAGCCTTTTCGTAATATAAGAATTATCAAGTTCTTTGGACCACCTCTTTTTAAAACCAAGCGCGGACCTAGCTTTGCTTAACGAGAGCTCAATATACAAATTGAAATGTAACTTATAATCAAATAGAACGCCTAAATCTCTGAACGAATCGACGTCCTCCAACTTGTTCGAATTAATGAAATACTGAGTAATGAACGACTTCCTCCTTGAGAAAGAAAATTTCTTACATTTATTTAGATTTAGTTTCAGAAGATTCAAAGAGCACCGTGCAACCAAATTATTCAAATCACTTTGAAGATGGTGTGATTGCGATTCTACGGAAAAGGAAGAAAACAGTTTCACATCATCACCATACATTAAGAAATTACTGGAATTAATCACCGACGGGAGATCATTAATGTATAAACTAAATGAAATGGGTCCCAAGTGGCTGCCTTGAGGTACGTCAGACGGCACGGGGATTTCATTCGAAGTGATGAAGTTAAACAGAGGATCTATTGTCCAGAACACTAGAAAGGGAAGCCAGAGACTTGGAGTTTAAAGATAAGTAGTCTATAGTTAACCAATCAAACGCTTTGCTAAAATCAGTGTATGGGACATCATTGCGAGAGCCACTAGAAAAAGCCTTGCAAACATGACAAGTAAACTCTAACAGATTGGTGACCGCAGATCTTCCCTTTCGAAAACCATGTTGGAGAGGAGAAATATACAATTTCATGGATAAGGCTATATGTTGAGCCACAATTCGCTCGAACACTTTAGGTAAGACACTCAACTTGGCAGTGCCTCTGTAGTTCTCTACAAGTTGCCTACTACCACTTTTGTGAATAGGAATAAGGAAACAAGTCTTCCAAAACAAATGGAAAACACCTAATTTCAAGGACTTGTTAAAAATCTTTGATATAACACCACATAGCTCGCCAGGACAAAATATAAGTACGATGAGGGGTTCGATCAGGTCCAGGCGAACAATTATATTTTAGAGAGCTCAATCCTTCAAAAACGTCATTTTCAGATATAACAAAGTTAAGAATTGAAATCAAATTAAAAATCGGATATCGATAGTTTGCTGATAAATCAAAATTGGCAGTTGAAAAGTTCTTTCGGAAGTATTGCGTAAACAGTTTTGAGGTTTCAAAATCATCCGAGAACTCGGAGCCATTAAAAGACACATGCGAGGGATTTATGGAGATTTTTCTTTTGAAATTAACAAACTTAAAAAAGTATTTAGGATTAGCAAACAAGGAAGATTTAACAAACTGAAGGTATCTGTAATAGTATTGGCGGTTGAGGGAATTAAATTTATGCCTTGCCACTGTGTAATCGAAATAATCGAAAGAAGAACCACTTTTCGAAAATTTTTTGAAAAGCTTGTTTTTCCTATTCTTGTAATATTTAATTGTTTTATTAAATCACGGAGGACACTTGCTGCGACGACGGGACTGCTTGATCGGAACGGACGCAGAAATAGCTTGATTTAATATATTGTAGAACGACGACAGTAAGCTATCAATACTTCCCACTGAGAATTCAAACACAATATGAGAAAGACGCGATTTTAGCATGGAAACATTGATTTTATGGAAATCATAAAATTTGTATGAAAAATTTGAATTTGGAACATTATAGTACTTCAACGAACCAACATGCTTGTAATAAAAGGAAATACCCAATGCTGGATGATATGGATCCTCAGGTAAAGTAAACGGAAGACAACGATTAACGCAAACCTGAAGAAAATTGGCAAAGCAAAGATCAAGCCATCTACCATTGCAATTAGGGGTACCATTGCATTGAAATAAATTATAATCAAATAATTCATTAAAGAACGCAACTTCTCTACCAGATGTTGAGGTTGGAATCAAACAGCCAGAACTATCGCTGCAACACCGAGTGACTTGAGGCAAATTGAAGTCACACAACACTATGACTATATCAGTGGGCTTAGATGGAGGAATTTGGAGGAAGATAGGAGCAGGTCACATATAAATGTTTATTAGGAAATTTCACTGGAATGGCGTCGGGAGTAGTTGGAAATTCAAATGAATAGGAGGGAAGTGCCGAAGAAATGGCAATTAAAACACCACCACCATTGCGATACAATCGACTATTTCTGAAAACTTGAAATGAATTATGGAAAAGTTCCGACGAATGTAGTCCGGTTTTAACCAAGTTACAGTGAAGACCTAACAGAAAACCTCCGTGCTCACTGAATGTAGGAAGGTAGAACGAATTTTTGAATTTAGGCCCCTAACAATTTGATAAATGAGAGAAAATGAGCCTGAAGAAATAGTTAGTTTTTTGAAGGAGAAAGAGTTACTGCATTAGCATTACGGGGTCGATCTCGAGGGATAAATTCCTTAATTAGGGATCCAACCGGCCACAACGGTTTATTTAACATCAAATCCATATTTTCAGTCAGAACTAGGATTTTAAAAGATGAGATAGCTCTAGATTGAGAAGGAGCCAATTTGAAAATACTAAACCCCTTTAAATTGACAGAAGAGGCTTTCGCTGCCAGATAACTTTTTATGTTATCAACAGATGTATCTGGTGCCAATCTTGACACAAGTATTGCCTTTCTGCATATATCATCTGTACTAGGAGCAGCAAGGTTCACGGATGAGGAGTTATGAGTTGGGGAAAATATAGAAGGTGGAACCACACTTGCACAGCTTGTACGACGTGCCTAGCTTGGCGACCGGCCTTTACACTCGAACAGCCAGGAGGAAAGGACGATTTACTACTATCATTATTACTTTTAGGCGATGACGCCTGAGAAGATTGAGTGACATCAATGGGAGGAGATACCCTTGCCACTTCAGCATAGCTCAAGCCAGAAGGACTTCCCAGCTTTTTTGTAACTTTTATGTTACCGACCGACACAACAATAGCAGAAACGCTAACATTGTTTGTAGACCTTAAGGAATCGCTAACTTGCACCGACGGAACGGACTAAGGAGAACTAAGAGGTGACGAACCACACGCTACGCTACGAGTTGAAACTTTGTTAGCTGGAGAGGAAGATGACTGCGCAATATATAAAACCTAGTCTCGATTATTTCAAATTTCCCCCACAAGGATCCGAGATTTTTGCTCAAATCTGAGAAAATTCCACGGCACAAATTTTCAGCAAATTAAAGCAAAGTCCTCACTGCCCTGCCCACTGTAAACATAGAGCGAAAGCTAAAGAAACTGCAAACAAAGATTAAGAGGCAAAAAGAGAAACTTTTACTAAGAACTCAATTGTTGATTACACTAAACCAAAATGATTTTTTCACATAAATGGTTAATAAATTCATATGCGTTAAATTCGCACTTTATTCATTTAGAGAATTTCTAAAATTAAACACGAACAAAGCAAAAAAACTAAGAAATACACTAAAAAAATTGAAATATTTCTTGCAAAGAATAAAAACGCGACTACAACGCGCACGTAGAGTTGCCAAGCTTAACGGGATAACGTGCTAAAACAGCAAGAAAGTCCAAAATATTTTCTCTTAATACACCGAAGCGAAAAGAACATACCTTTCGTTCAAGTTTATCGTTTATATGAACACTATAGCTCGCCTAATGAAACTTAAAAGGAAATTGAAATGGAAACCCTTCTTGCCCATCCATTATCAATTCCACCGTTTAGTTGTGCAATAAATGTCACTCAATGAAGACTGCTAAGAGATAACAAGTCCTGAATGCTGTATTCTGTAGACGTATTCTGTAGAAAGGGGACATTGGGCAGTCGATTCCAAAAGGAAGGTCACGTACGCAAGGCATCAGTTGTTAGCTCGTCCGAGCATTATCGGTCAACGGGTAAGAAAGTATGGATTTGCATGGATACCTGATAAATAGTGAGTCGTGAAAGTACACACAACCTTTTTTTTCAAGATCCCTTTTACACGAATTTCTGGCTTCTCTAAGCAACGTACTGTATGAAATTCACCCCTGTTAAAATAGCATTTTTTAACCGGAGACAGTGTGTTTTCCAACGATATTTGTTAGAAAACGTGAGCCCGAGAATATGCAGCGTCTGCACGTTTAGTACCGGCAAATCATTAATATGCATCGGTAGATTTCCTGCGCCGCATACCTGCTTTCGACAAATGTGCATTTTTTTAGATTTTTGTATGGAAATTTTAGCCCCTCACGAGTTTACCCATGCGGAGATCTCTCGTCCAATATATTCGAGGATGTTGATTGCCTTCGTGCTATCTTTTTCCTTTGTATACATCGTCCACCTAGAGACAATGTTCCACTCTTGCATTTTGCTTATTTCGTTGAAGGCGAAGGAAAAGCGTGACAAAAATGCGGAATGCCATTTATTAGAGGAAAGGAATCAGAGAGATGACTGTTGATTCTAACTTTAAACCGCCGATGCGACATGAATGATTTGATGTAGTTGAAGAATTTGGGTCCAACATTCCATGATTTCAAGAGTCTCAAAATAACATGAAGACCAACTCTGTCAAATGCTTTTTCGAAATCAATAGAGAGAAATGTTACGTGATTTCGTTCGGAAATTGCTTTGCTTGTAAATTAATCAATATGTAACAGAGCGTCGATGCACCCTATATCCCCTTTGAAACCAACTCGTTGCTTTGTAATCAGGTTCTGGGACTCAAGAAACCAAGATAATCTAGATGCCGTAATCTTTTCCAATACCTTTGAGAGGCAAGATAAAAGAGAGATTGGGCGATAGTCCGATGCGAGGGAGACATTTTTAGACTTTGGAATTGGAACAACTGGGTATATGGCCAATCAAAAGTACCGCATTATATAGGTCCAGTAATTTATTTTTACTTGAATTAGATAGCGCACTCATTATTTGGTAGGAGATGCGGTCTAGACAAGGTGTCCTCCGCTTCGATTTGGAGAGACAACTTTAAAGTTCTAAGGTAGATATGCAATTTTCCATGAAGGTGGCACATCTGTCAATACAATTTGAAAGGGAAATTGGAGTTTTTTTATTTTCAATGAAAGCACTGGAAAAGTTGCTGTCAGTGGAGTATTCGCACCACATTTGTCCAAAGTAATTAGAAATATCATGTGCGTCAGTTAAAGTTCCATTGGGAGTGCCGATAGCAGAAATTTCGTTCAGATTTGAAGTCCCATTGAGTCTGTTGATTTTGCTCCAGACAACTTTCATAGATGTATTTCTGTGATTTCTTTTCTAAAAAAGTTCGAAACTAAATGCCTTTGATTTTCGTAATTCCTTCCTGAATAGAGCGTTGGCCTTTTTGTATAATAACAAATGATTTTGATCAGGGCATCTCTTAAAGCCATAGATCCATTTTATTTTTCCTTGCTGAGAAAACTATTGCGAAGGTGGGATATAGAGCGAAAGCACTGTAAATTTTATATTTAATATTATTTGTATCGTTGCGCCTGTATATTTGAGCTTAAATTTATACGTTGGTGAGGTATATTTGATTTTATAAAAACGCCAGTTCCTTGTTTGGAACATAAATTTTGATGAGCATTCGTGAAGTATCCAGAATATGATTTGGGTGGAATAGGATTAAAAGACCTTCTACAATGGGTCTCTTGAAGCGATATAAAGGTTGGACTGAAATCACTTACGAGTGTACGGAGTTGATCAAAATTATTAAAAAGTCCCTTAATGTTCCATAGTAGAATTTTAAAAACTTTATTTAATTTTAGTGACATGGAAACGGACTGGAAAATAGGCTAAGTTGACATGTCAGCGTATTCGTCAAAAATGTCAATATAAGACACAACAATCTGTACTTAGGTGATCGCGTAAATTTGAAGTGCAACGAGTAGACAAACGTGAATAATTTGAATTTGAAGGTTGATGGAGGGATAAAAGATTGGATTCATTACAGCTTGTAATTTGTTGAGTAGAGTTGAAAACTGGTGATTCTGGGGGATTTAGTTTATTAGATTTTGGCATACGTGTTGTTGCTTTAATTTTTTCAATATTTGCTGTTGTTTTGATTTTTTCAATATTATCTTTGGCAGATAATGGAACTGATTTGGCAATATAATTTTTGGTTGATGGTAGAACAGGTTTTTCATTGGATTTATTTCCCGGTATTTGCCTCAAGCTTCGCCTATGCTACAGTAATTTTCTGTTTTGATTTTTAAAATTTCACGCATCTGTACGAAACGTGGGCATTGTTTGTCTAACGCTTAGTGTTGATCGTTGCAATTTAAACAGAAGCTACGCGTACAGTTTTTAGCATATGGAGGGAGACCACAGTTAGCACAGGATGGAGGACTGGTGCATCTTTTTGTCGTATGATCCAGGCGTTGACAGTTTTTAAACCTCATGGGATTTGGAATGTAGAGTTCTACTTTACATTTGTACCAAGCTACATCAACCGTAGCCGGTAGCCGATAGCGATCAAAAGTGAAAATAATTCTTCCTGTAGGAGAGCGGGTTTTTCATCGTCATTTAATTTGGTGAATTTATAGACTTCAGTCACTCTTTGACTGCCCATTTCGCGAACAATTTCGTCTTCCGGCACATGCTTTAAGCATGGGGCATAAACTACGCCTTTAACCGAGTTGAGTTTATCATGCGGTTTAGCAGATATTGCACATAAATTAGTAATGATTTTGATTTTATGAGCTTGTCGGTTGCGCTGGGGTTCCCAGCGAGGACAAGTAAATTCCCATCACATAAAATTGATATAGAGTCTATATATGTTGTAATGCTATCTAGTGCTTTTTTTAAGGGCGAAAGGGCTGATTTGCGAAATTGTTATGGAGGGATCAGTTGGAGAAATCACAACATATTTTTTGTCGATAGGTTGGCAACACCGGAAAGTCGGACTTTTTAATTTTTTTGCTTTGTGGGGATAAGTCTGCTAATAGGTGAAATCTTTTTGAGTTTTTATCTGACGGCCCCGGGGCCATTACGCCTTATGGCTGTCTATTATTTAGTAAGTTGGGAAATAACCATTCACTTGAAAAGGTTTGGGAACTGTGGAAGAAGGTTGGGAACTACTAAAGGAAAATGTCAATTGTTTTCAATTTTGTTATTTTTGTTTTTTTGTTTTTTTATTTTTTTATTATATATAGAGGAAACGAAAGCACATATGCGATGTCCGCGTTAACCAGTTTTAGCAAAAACACTGAAAAGACAGGAGTTAAATACACAAAAACACCGAAACAAAAAAAATCGCAGACGAAAAGTAAACACACACTACACTGAACACAAGTCGAGTCGGAGTGTACACTTAAATAATATTTTATGTGCTTATTATAGGAAAAAAAGAAATTATAATTTCTCTGTAAATAATTCTTCCCAGGGACGTCGATGCTACTACACTGTTATTAAATTTCAATTCTTTTCCCACACAGCTCTGTATATATACAGATATATATACGCCAACATTAGAGCTCTTTTCTTTCTCTGTACATACGAGAGTAGTTCAACAAACTTGTCAATTCCTTAAAATGCGTTATCGTTCTTTCTTTGTATGATATTGATGGCAATTTCTCTAATTTCTTGTTGATTTAATGACCATAGGTTAAGTATGGTTCATAGCTGGCTGCTGAAATATTAGAAATATTTTGATGAATTTCTTGAAAACTTCATTCCTTAATAGTTTGAATAAACGAATAGGAAAGAAATTGTAAGCGGAAAAGGCAAGGTCCAAGGCACTACGACAGAATAATCCTATGCGAACTTTTATACATAAATTATTCGGCAGTGTGATTAAACGCTTTCTCAGCTTGAAACTTTCGGAAAATTTTTAATTTAAGCCTGAATGAATTTATTGGACTATCTTTAGTTTCGATCAGATCTACAAAATTTACGTGCTTTTAAGCCAAGGGCTAACGCATTACAGAGGCGTAGATCTCCGCAAAAATTCACTTCCAAACGATGTAGAAAATAATCAAATACTTTATTATACTATAATGTCGAAAAAATTTCGCATTGATTCCGGGCGATTTTCGTTGCTCTCAAACAACGTAAAGCTTCCTCTTCCTCTTTTTTCTTATTATCCACACTTTTGCCTAATGGCATAGCAGACATTTGTTGTGATGAAAATTTATTCTTTATACGATCAGCTGACAAGTAATTCGGGCAATGAGAAATTAGTATCCACTTGATTTGATGGCAAGAATTTCATACCTAATTACAAAACGTATGGACCTTCACTTTTATATTAGCTAGGACATGATTGGACATATTCAAGTTCAGTTTTTCTGATAGAGTATCAGCGATCAAGTCCCTACACTCATTTCTACAATCATGTAGTCTTATTGTTGCGCAAACTATTGCTAAGGAGAGTTATCGGTAAAAGTTTGTGTACATGACAGCCAACACCAGCCTAATAGTGAGTCATAAGCGTTTTAATTTATTTCTTTGCAATTATCATCAGTTATTGGGGTGCTGCAATGAACAAGAGCCTCTGCTTCTTCAATACCTTAGCAGTAATTCCCGAATTTTGAAACCTTAACAAAAATGAAATTGAATATTTCCAATTCAACGCTAAAGGTTTTGCAATGAAAACCTTATATGAAATCTTTATATTAATTTTCTCGATCATACGATCCATTTTCAGTAACCAAATATAAATGAAGATATTAAGATCCGCCTGAGTGGCCGAGTAGGTAAGAGTCGCGACTAGCAACTCAATGGTCGTGGATTCAAATCTCATGTGCGATAGAATTTTTAATAAATCCGAAAGCCTTAGATGCCTGCTAGTGCTTTAAGACTTTAATCTTAGAATTTATTCTCTGGTTAAATTTGTAATAATAATAATAATAATAATATATGCAAAATATATAAAATATTTCTATTAATAATTTACTGGCTTTTGTTAGAAAGGCAAATATACATAGATTTACAAGAATCATCTGACAGAAAAGCCACCTTGGCACGCTTTCGCGGTTTTTTCAACAACTTTCCGAAAAAAAAAAAATATTCTGAAATTTTTATGTACATCCTTGGCTGCTGTAGGATTTATGAGCTTACGTTAACTACTCTTAATTTAATACACATTTTGAACTAAGTTAGCACAGCCGTGGACGATTGTATGTTCTCAAGAATCGCGTCGTGGTAATATATTTTCCATGATCTACATTTCCCAATCACTATGTACAACACATATTCTTCAGCAGCGCAACTCCCACTTCTACAAGACAAGGGCGGAAAATATTTTAAATAGCAATCGCATAGTGTTAAAGAATTAATTTGCAAAATCAATGCAACACCACATAATAATTAAAATCGAATTATATATATGCTTCTACAAGCATTTAATGATAATAAATTTTGTAATTATAGATTAAAATGAACAAAAAAACAATGTTTTATTTTTCTTTTTTAAATTCGCATGAATATTTAAAGATTACCTTAGCAAACAAATAACTAAATCTGAAAATATTTAAAAATTTTTTTTCCGCTTTTACAAGCTGTAGAGGTGTGCTTACCGTGCTTCACTATCCCTTAGCCATTTATGTTGCGCAGCCTTGAAGATCCTATAAGCTCTAAAAATAGCCGAGCAGCGTAAGCAGATTAATAAATCCAAAGACTCAGGCACCATGAACTATACGCTAAATTGATGGAATTTTTAAGACTTCGGGAAGATTGCAGGTTTGACCAAACGCAGCGGTTTTGGCACTAGATTACATTGCTAAAGTATATGACAAATAGGCAAAAAATGACGAATCTCGACTTTTAAATCAGCGATGTCTACTGCATGGATGGACTATGCAAATTAGTCTTTGCAAAGTTGTTAATTGCCACCACGCAAACGCAGCACCAAGTACAGAGTTGGATGATTATAAATATTGTAATCAGAAATAGTGAAGTCATCTTGCATTTGCTTGCCGCCAAAAATCAGACGCTGCAGTTCATAAGGAACGCCTTGTTCTTCTTGGATTTTAGTTTTCATCTTTTCAATGGTATCCGTAAGCTCGACTTGCAAGGCAACAGTCTTGCCGTTTAATGTCTTTACGAAAATTTGCCTACCACCATGTAAACGCAAAACCAAATGATAGGCAGACGATTCCCGAGCATTACAAGTACAGATGTCATGTCCATATGCCCACTGCTTGCGAGCATGGATTAAACACTGCTGATGCGATCGAATACGAACACCTCGATCTATGTTCAAGCGGATATTTCTACCAATCAAAGCTTTAACAAGGATTTGTGTGTCACCGCGCAAACGCAAAATCACCTGAAGAGTAGCGTCTTTCTCAATATTATATTCGAAGAGAGTACGGTCGTCTTCCAATTGCTTGCCATCAAATATCAAGCACTGATGATCTAGAGGAATACCTTCTTTTTCTTCAATTTTTGCTTTGATATATTTAACGGTGTCAGAAGACTCAACCTCCAATGCAATGGTTTTATTCTGTCGTGTTTCAACATAAATTTCCATACCGCCAAGTAAACGTAAAACCAAGTAAAGAGTCGAGTACTTTTGTATGTTATAGCTCATTAGTGTAAAACCATCTTCTAAATGCTTGCCCGCATAAGTCAAATGGCGCTGACATGGTGGGTTTTTTTTCATATATAAACAAGAATAAAAAATGATGTTCGACTTTGCCCCAATCCTTTATATTCACCGGTTGTTAAAGAAATCAGAGAATGTTCGAATGTCCGTACTCTATAACATGGGCAGGTCAGGGCGGATTGTTTTACTTTTACCGCTTTTTACCGCTGCTATAGCACTACTTACTGAACATTTTCCTCCTTTTATCTTGTATAGGCTACGGGTAATAAGCAAAAAATGCAATTTTTTGGCTGTTGGCTTTAAGAACATAAGTGTTCTCAATTCATGTAATAACGCAGCCATATACTTTGATCGATTTCGCTCATTTTCAATACTAAGCTCCTTGCAGGAGCTGTCGATGTTTTTGCGAACTTTGAAGTCGCCATCTCAACCTTTGCGGCCAGCTCAACGGTCATAAGCAGAATTACTTAGATGGACGGACAGACAGACATTTAAATCAATTCAGAATTTGATACTGCTCTAAACTATATAGATTTTCCGAGGGTCTCTTCTAGATGTTGCAAGCATTTTCACAAGACGTTGATGGGCGGAGAAGAGTATTTGAGAGAAAAATGTACTTTCCAGGAGGCAATGACATGCAAACCGAACCCCAAAAGGTTTACACTATTCCTAATTTCGATATAAATTGAAAATAATGGGTCACATTGAAAAGTCTCCGCGTTTTCAAGCTTCTTTTTCTTTTCAAACCTTCACTATTTTTTCTCTCTTTTTGTTCTTTTAGTGGCGTTTTTACTTTTTTTATAGTAAAAAAATATAGCGTACTTCTACAGAGATTTCATTCATTTTGAAATTAATATAATTTTTTACACGAGCACAGAATTAGGAAACTATCTTCACACGAAGTCTAAACTGAACTGTGACCTTCGTTTGAGACAATTATGTGAGTGTTGCCCGATATATGAGCCGTTTATTTTGAAAGTGGTTTAAGTCCATTTTTAACAAAAATGTTGTTAATGATAACAATAATCACAATCCTATGTAATCTTTTTTTTTTTATAAACAATTTAAGTGTAGCATCATTAAATTCGCTATGATTTGGGGCACTTGAAAATTAGCTAGTTAACGAAATGCATAAAAATTTATTTTGCAACTGGTTTAAATCCACTGAAAGAAATAAATTTGATATAGAATGTCTTATGTTACAAAATTCCGAAAAAATTTAATCAATATTAATGACTGAACATATAGAAAAATTTTTAAAAACAAAATTAATTTGCATTTTCATTACCCACAAAAAGATATTTGCCAAAAATGTGGTCAATTGAATATTAAACTTAAAGCATCTTGCACACAAGGAAAACCTCACGGAAGAGCATAATATTCATTTAAGATGTGCTGAATTGGCCAGAAAATCATCAAAAGAAGATCAAGTTTTATAAATCCAAATAATCCAAATATATATTTCGCTTCTTTATTCGACTTAGAAAAGGCATTACCTTTTCCAAAATTGTCTGTTTCCATCGCCTATTACAAACGTAACATGTACATTCTCAACCTAGGTTGTCATAATTTTCACGATAATGAAGTTTACATATATACCTGGGAAGAAACTGTGGCATCGATAAGTAGTATCTTGTATATTAAAACACCTCAAAACTCTTAGAAATCAAAAATATATCATAGCTTGCACCGATATGTGCACTGGGCGGAACAGGAATATAAAATTGGCACTAACATGGTTGAAAATTGTGCAATCGGCAGAAAATAATGCAGATATTATTGACCATAAGTTTTTACTATCAGGACATTCATTTTTGCCAAATGACAGTGATTTTGGAGTGATAGAAATGGCTTTGAGGAAAAATAGTTTAATGTAAGTCCCCCAGGATTACTATGACACCATAAAAACATGTCGAAAGAGTAACAAATTTATATTAACTAAAATGAAAAGTGAAGATTTTTTTTCTACAAAACCTCTGGAACAAGCAATTCATAAAAAATTAATAAACACTAGAATCTATGGAAGTGGATACAGAGTTCAAAACACTTGATTTATTACCTTATCGGGTTAGACCAAGGAACTTCAACAAAATAAAATTAACACCATTATACAAAAATGTGCGTCCCATTTCAATTCCTAAGTATAAGGATATGATGGAGTTACTAAGGTATATACCACCTATGCACCATGAATATTTTAACAACCACATACATAATCTAAACGGGGAGAAATAATATGGCAAAATCTTTAGTATTATCCTTAAAACATGAATGTTAGCTTAATTTTTTAATAAATAAATCTAAAAAAAAGAAAAAATTAACTTATAATAATATTAAACAAAGAACACAAAGTGGACTTATTCCTTTTCACAAACAAAAAAGTCATTTTATTAATCTTGAAAGTGGTTTAAGTCCATTTTAGGTTCTGAAAACAGCTTATTTTTCTAATAAAGTTTACAAAACGTATTTCGTTATATATTCTAATATGTTTAAGGTCACAAAGCCATAAAAGCAACTTAATAGCAGTTAACAATATCTTTGAAACAATTCAAACGCAAGCCCTTAAATATTTCAATATAGGAAAAAATGGACTTAAACCACTTTCAAAATAAACGGCTCATGTAAGCATCAATACCATCCTGCGGAAAAAACCGCGGAGAACTTTCATTGTGACCTTTTGTTTTTCCATTACACTCTGTTCTTCAACCCAAAAAAAATGCACAAAATTCCTCTTAAAAAAGCCTTTCAATACAAAATTGTAGTTCCAAGGACTTATTTTATTTTTTTCCAATGCGGAACTAATGAAAACGGTCTTCGAAAATGACACTTCATAAGAGAAGTGGCGGAAACAGTGATGCTCCCAACCATTTTCAATAGCGTTGGACCAAAACATGCCAATCTAACAAATTTCATCAAAATATTTCAAAAGTTACGATCTGTATATTGAGCACAAGAAAATAAGAACACATGCAAGCTCAGAAAGCCATTCTGAATCGATCGGTATTATAAAAGATTTTTCTATTCACGTCCTTCTGCCGAGCAGATAAGAATCGCAAACTCTCTAGGCAGTTGTCGCGAGTTCAGAGCGGTGAAATTTACTTTGGTCGTAGCTATAAAGGGTGGTTGGGCATATGCAGGTTAGCCACACATCCACTAGGTTGCAGCCGCTTCCATGTCCTCTTTACTTCACCTTTTTGCGCCATGAATATTTGGTCATTTAATGTACAAAACAAGTAAATGTCTCCTACCCGCCGCTATGGTTTTCGCATTCTACTCTCCAAGTTCTTTTAATTCACACCCATATCGCTGGTATTAAGAAAAAAGGAATCCACTAGGTCTCGGTGTCTACCATGTTCATTTTAGAATTAACGCATTTATAGGCAGATAATATATCTTCACTTAAGGAGTGCACAAAATAGGTTTGAAACATTTTGTATTGTTTGCCTTATGGTAACTAAGCATAAAATCTCAAAAAAGTGAAAAAAATATAATTTAATTTAATTCAATTTGAATTTTTTTTTTGTGTGGGCATGGCCTTTTTTACACGTATAGAGTAAAGTAAATGTGCGGAGCTTCCGCTTCCTAACGTTTATAATTTCTGAGTAACGACCAAAAACCCACAAATTTTTGGTAAGAAAACCGGAGCCACTCCACGGTGGTCTTTGACCGTTTTCAATACCAGCCTGCGTGCAAAAACCACCAATGTTACTGCGAATTTTGAAGTCAATATGTTCATTTTTGCGACCAGGAGAGTGCCAACAATAAGCACCATACACACACAGGCGGATGGACACGAAGATGATGATCAAGAATATATACCCTATATAAAGTCTCTGGAGCTTCCTTTTGGGTGTTACGTACGTTATGAAGAAAAACAAAGTAGAATACAAAAGTATGCCCCCTTCCCTTAGTGGTGGATATAAGAATAAATAACCTTGCACCACAAAGACAAGGGTATAAAAAATATTTCATTGATAATTGAAATTATATACAGTAAAAGCTCCTTATTCGCGCTCTCTTTATTCGCGGCTTCACTATCCGCGGATTAAAAAAATGCGACCCAATTCCCATATTCGCGGCTTTAAATTTCCTTATTCGTGGATTTTTTGTGACTGGTTTCGGAATTGTTTTGTTTCTGAAGTTGAAACTTATTTAAAAAAATTGAATTTAGACTTTAAAGTACTTCCAGTTTTGGTCAATACACCAGATCATCCTCGCGAACTTTAAACTATGCATCCAAACATAAAAGTGACATTTTTACCTTCCAAGACGACGGCTTTGCTTCTACCTATGGACCAAGGAATAATCCAGGCCTTTAAACTCTATTACATTAGACGTACTTTCAAAATCACATTGGATAATAGAGAATGTAATCCTGATATGAATGCTATGGAATGCAGGAAGAAATTTGACATAGAAAAATGCACCGTAAACATAAAAACATCATTGGGAGAACTGAAGCCACACACATTGAAGTCATGCTGTAAAAAACTGTGGCCTGCTTTGACTGCGGAAAATGACGAAGAATGCGTGCAAGCTCAATCTTTGACTGCAAACATAGTCGAAATCGCGAATGGAGTAGGACGAGATGGATTCGAGCAGATAGAATCAAGTGACATTCAGGAATTGCTTGAATCGCAAGATGAAGATATGACTGAAACCGGTTTGAAGGAATTGTTAAATTCACAGCCCATTGAAGAAGAGGCTACAACAAGCACTGGGAACGCGACATTTAATTTGAAAAGTCTTAGTGAAGGTCTAAGAATGACAAATGAGCCTGGCGATTTCTTTACGAACATTGATCCGTCTATGGAACGAAGTCTTATTTTTAAGAGGCAAATTGCTAATCATTGCGTATCAGTCTGAATTGAAGGAGCTTTTAAAAACTGCCAAGCAAGAGAAACTTACAAAATTCTTCAAACCATTGCCTAAACCTTAAGATAATTAATCAAAATCTTCAAAAACTTCAATTAAATTGATATTTTTTATTTTGCCACTAGAGAACGTATTCCCTATAATCCCATATAAATTACCACTCACGGTTTTTTTTTTATTTT